ATGTCATCGCGCAATGTGTGACAATTGAACGACCGTGCAATGTAAAGCATATAGAGTCCTAGCATATAACAGCATATATTGCGATGTATTTGTAACCGTTTATTCCATTTACCTCACCAGCCTTATTAGCTCCAAGAAACGGTATTGCTAGGGTTAGAATACCTATTGTAGAATACCTAATTGTATACCTAGGGTTAGAATACCTAATTGTATACCTAGGGTTAGAATACCTAATTGTATACCTAGGGTTAGAATACCTAATTGTATACCTAGGGTTAGAATACCTAATTGTATATTGACGGCAGTCACAGCCTGATCGGGTTACATCCTTATAAGCAGTAAGGAAATACCGCTGTTCTTCATGGTTCGATGGTTTCTTTGTGTGTTATACTTGTAACTGTCTCAGCAGACTTTGCCTTTGCTGGCTCATGTACAGCTGGCTGTACAGTTATACATTCTCCGGCAGTCATATATGCGCCGTTCAGCAATATAAGTCTAACTACGCGTGCCAAATATCATCCAAATCGATAATATTGACGAAGTTGGTCATTGTGTGCAGAACATCACGTTACATGAAGAACTTCAGGCAAAACAACGTCGCCGACATCTTCAACATGACGGCTGTCAACAGTTCCCTTCAACACGACGTAGGTACTGCTGTCATGACGTTCTGTAGCAGCACAGCCGAGCAATACGCAGAGGAATCAGTTCGATGTTACGTATAGCCACATAATGCGCATACTCTCTCGTACAACATTGTCATCCATATCTTCATGCAATCATGGTGCGATCTCTCTGATGTTCACATATCAAGTGTTACATAGGACAGGCATCATGGGGCGCTGTACAACTTATAGTGAAAACGCCTAAGACCACACGGAAATGGGACCACCGTGAAATCAAATCCTTCCACGTCCGTGCGCCGACCTATGCATTTGGCGCATGGATCCATAGCTGCCAGCGCTGCATACTGTCGTAGGACGTTCCCACGGTCGCGTGCACCTTGCCGCGGAACTGCGCGCAAGATCCGCGCTCAGCAGTTAGGATCAACACCTCCTTTCGGCAACACTTCTCTGGTATCCCGTCTCATCTGGATCTGTTTAGCAGAGAATTATTCTCTATAGAACTGTTTTCACGATTCAGTAACCTGCGTGTATTTGTGATTGTATGAGATATTTACGTCCGCCAAGGGGTTGGCAGGAGGTTATGTTTTCACTGGCGTTTGTTGGTTTGTGGCTTTGTGCGTTTCTTTGTTTGTGTACGCCTAACTGAAAAGGTTATGGACGGATTGTCATAAAATGTTCAGAATAGCTCAGAAATGGGCTAACTTAGAATTGATTAGGTTTTGGTGGTGATCCGGATCCAATTAATTAATTAATTAATTAATTAATTAATTAAATTTTCAGGATAGGTCAGAAATGGGGTAACTTAGAAGTCATACAATTTTGGTGGTGATCCGGATCCAATTAATTAATTAATTAATGAAATTTTTAGGATACGTCAGAAATGGGGTAACTTAGAATTCATACAATTTTAGTGGTGATCCGGATCCAATTAATTAATTAATTAATAAAATTTTCAGGATACGTCAGAAATGCGGTAACTTAGAATTCATGAAATTTTGGTGGTGATCCGGATCCAATTAATTAATAAAAATTTTCACAGTGAGAGAATTGAGCTGCCTTGGCAGAGGTCTGCGCTCTCCGAGTGCTCTAGTTTATAATGCAATTGAATTGTGATTAATTAATGGACGCACATATGTTATGGCCTGTTCGCGGCCGAGTCAAGTTGTGCATTATAAACGCCCTAATACTGAAACCCGTATGATAGGAGATTGGGTAGTGAAACCCTTATGATAGGGAGGTGGGTAGTGAAACCTATATGATAAGAGCACGCGTAGGGAAACCTTTTATTGAAAGAGCTAGCCAGTTGAACAGCCAGTGTTGTTGGAGCCAGTTTATTTAAGCCATAGGCAGTGGCGTGACACGTTCTGTATCATAATTGAATTCGGTCTCCGCGTTCACACAGATTCTGGCTTTTATATCGGCCCCGAGTGACTGAGCGTTTAGTGGGCTGTCAATCACGCTCCGTTAGTTTCCAATAGTTTGGATTTAATCAAAAATGCTGCTAATTTTGCAACGGCTGCACGCTTCCATTCCAATTAGATACAGACGATACTCGACCGGGAAGCTGCGAGCTGCTATGATGAATATATCAGTTAAGCTATTATTTATGACAGCCTTTCCGCTTGAGTTTGGCTTTACCACGCACAACGTAAATTTATATGGGGGATCTAAACCAACGACGCGTTTTAGAAGCATATGTGTAGCATATGTGTGCCTATATGTGTTTTATGATATTCCGTGACCAGTCATTGAGGCAAATGACATACCAGAGATGTTACATGAGAGGTTCTTACAGTGGAGCTGATCGTGTTGTTTCTGTCTATCTATGGAGCAGTGACCGAGTAAATTGTGTGTGTGTGTGTGTGTGTGTGTGTGTGTGTGTGTGCGCGCGTGTGCGCGCGCGTGTGCGCGTGCGCGTGCGCGTGTGTGTGTGCGTGTGTTCACGCGTGCGTGCATGCGTGCGTGCGAGCGTGGCTATGAATGCACATGGCTTCGTGCATGCGTTGTTACGGACAGCGATATTATGCGTGGGATTCAGAGCAATTACACTATCGTCTGCAGCAAAAGTATCATTAGCTAGTGTGTATCGGTGCCCCACAGACATCGTTTTTTATCCGAACGTGTCTCTGTGGACGTTGCTTGCGGCAGGAATACTGGAAGCGACGTCTATAAACGCGACGATATCTGGCGCGCCATATATTATGTCTGCTGTACATATAGAGAGATAGCTGACTTGATCTTTCGCTACCCCTTCACCCTTCAAAATAATGTTTTCTGCATCATTGTATTTTTTCAAATTATGGTGATAAATAATTTTTTTTGAATTTGAATTTAATTTGATTTATAACTAGCTGCTTGCATGGCGGCTTCACCAGTGTAGCGAGTCGCCAGCACCGTGAGAGCGCGTGCGCTATTGTCTCGGCGATGCTGACGACTCGCTGCCTAAACACAAATCGCTGCCAGTCTCCTGTCTCCTGTCTCTGTCTCTGTCTCTGCTAGTTGGTTGTGACTGCGATCTCGCGTAGATTTCCTTCATACGTACGTCGTGCGGCGGCTGGCGGCGACCCCACGCCGACACTCTATGTGTGTCACTATCTCTCTCTCTCGTTCGGTTTCTCTCCCTCTCATCACTTTCTTTTGATAATACTCGCCGCTTCGTTACATGCGTTAATTGAAAGTGAATTGTTTTGCATTGACCTTGATGGAAACCGCACGCCGGCGGTTTATTGTGTCAGGAGCAAGTTTCGAATGCGCCGTCGAATCGTTAATAGTCGTACTGTAAATTTAAACGATGCTGCGATTTATTTCCGCGAATTGGAGGTCTAAAATGAGATGTTTTTAGCTTGTGTCTGTTTGTATTAGATTGTTTTATGTCGAACGGCCGCGGTGTGTGCACTCGGCGGCTGTTACATGAGATAGTGGCAGTGGCACGTTCTTGCCACGCCGTTTGATGTAAATGCTTTCATAACAGGAATGTTAAAATGTTTACACAATGACTGCTAAATTGGAACTCTGTCTTCCGTCTGTGAGGATTCACTTTACCGCAAGCGGCGCTACAAAAAAACCATACATCTCAACATCGTTGGCTTCAACATGGCTGAGGGTTGAAGCTGAGGCTACAGCATGGCTGATGGTGGAAGCTGAGTCTACAGCATGGCTGATGGTGGAAGCTGAGTCTACAGCATGGCTGATGGTGGAAGCTGAGGTTACAGCATGGCTGATGATGGAAGCTGAGGCTACAGCATGGCTGATGATGGAAGCTGAGGCTACAGCATGGCTGATGATGGAAGCTGAGGCTACAGCATGGCTGATGATGGAAGCTGAGGCTACAGCATGGAAGCTGGAGCGGAGGGGGTTTCTGCACCTGCAAATTGCGTATAGATGTCTGTAGTTTGATGCCGACGACGCGGCGCGATGTTCGCTCGCGTGCAGTGCTTCGGTGCTCGTGCCATGCTCTCGTGCGCCGTCTCCGTATGCGCTGATCCCGCCCCGCGCTCCTGATTGTCATGTCTGTCGACCCCTGCGCCCGTCCGCCCGCCCACCCTGCCGCATTTCTAGTGATTTCTAGGATCGGCACAGCTGCGTTGGATGGTTGATTACGTTTAATAATGCACGCTCGCGCGCACCACTCCCCTTCCCCTCCCACGTCATCATCTGCCTTTTCTGATAGGAATCTATATGTGCCGCACTGGTCATAAATTGCTGACCGGTATGTTCCTACGTTGTTGTGGTTGATGGTGGTGATGATGATGATGATGATGATGATGATGATGATGATGATGATGATGATGATGATGATGATGATGAAGACCTGTGCTGCTGCTGCTGCTGCTACTACTACTGCTACCGGCAGTACGGCGAAAGGGGGATTATATATACAGTGCTGATGCTCTCGCTTGCAGGACAGTGGGAGGAGAGAGGCTAAATGGGAATATGCTATTGCTGCTGATGCTGCTAACAACAGCACACTGAACGAGTCAATGACGATACATAATGATAGTCAATTTCTGCGCATGATAATGACAAATCCAGCGCGTTTCTCTCCCTCCGTGACTTCTTACAATGCTTGTTCTGTTGTTGCTGCCCGGCTGATTTTTTTCTCGAAAAAACACTGACTGCACTCTCTCCCCGGTTTTGTGCTTTGAATTTTCGTGGTGCTAATGCCCTTACCTCCCCGAATGCTATTTCTGCTCGACGCTTACCCTCTCAAGGTTTCAAGAACTGTATCTAGACTGCCAGCCCTCCTCCTCACTGACGCAACGCCCTCGGAGTACGTGCCCCGTGCTCTACTGTGTGTCATTCACCATATCTCCTACCTTTTGTACATGTCACTAATCAGCTGGTATCGTTTCTATTGTTTGGCATGCTGAGCAGGTAGAAAGAACAAACCCAAAACCCAGCTGGATGTTGCAAAAGGTGATTACAATTTTTTTCTCTGTCGCCGTTGCATGGATGTTAGAGAGAGACAGAGAGCCTGTCCTGAGAGTGACTTTCACCCTAAACGCATGCCTACAGTTGCCATCGTGGTTGTGCTTGCCATTACGATATTACTTGCCATCACATTGTCGTAGCCATGGTGATTGTCACAATGTTGATGCTTCGAGACGTCTTGTAGATTCGAAGGTGTTCCACTTATTTAGTCTATCTTTAAATTATCCTTGATTAACACTCTTAAGCTATCACTATTTAAAAAATTATTTACAAGTAAACTGGCATGTATTAGCTAAATAGCGTAACGTTAGTCAATCCGATATACACCAACAATAATTAATAATCTATTACTTATTTTATTGACATGACTGTCTTAATAGCACAGTTAAGTCAGATGCTGTAGCTAAAAATACTGCCCTATTAGGTTGAAAACGTCTACACACGCTGCGTAAGCATATATACAAACGCGCCTAATTAGTTGCGTTTAACTAATTAGTAACGTATAAACATTCACTACTAATTAGTGGATGCATTTGTATTGGTTTGTTCGTTGGCAGTGAATTGATACGAGAAGTGATGCTCATAGGGTCTATGTCCCCCAGGGTACTGCCGGAACATACCCTGGGTACGGTTCGATATACCGGAACGTACCCTGGTAACTATTTGATATGGTTAGGGTTACGGTTAGGGAGTAGGCGTAGGCGACTCCCTAGACTCGTTAGTGGAGTAGGCGAGGTACGGTCCGACATATTAGATAGTACCAGGGTACGTTCCGGTATACCGGACCGTACCCAGGGTACGTTCCGGCAGTATCCTGGGGGACATAGACCCTCTCAGCAAAAGTGATCGCTGCCTGTCTTACAATGCATCGCGCAGTTGAATAAGCTTTGATTAGTTGATTCACGTTCCGATGTTTTGTCCAGCTAACGATGTACCATAGCGAGTTGCACGCATGAACGTTATAATAATCTATCTAGGATATATGGTATATATATGATAACCTGTGCAGTTTTTGATGGGAATGATTCACATGGCGTTCGTATTGTATCATTGATTTAATTGCAAAAAATGTTTATCATGCATGTGAATTTCACTCAGTTATGCTCTTCGAAATTAACTTGCGTGTATATTGTTTGTGTTTAACGTATCTGTGACGTAATTTGCTCTTGACGTGAATTAGCGAGGCGTCCAGCAGCGCCGGCTGCTGCGAAACGCGGCATCTCGAGAATGCTAGACGAATTTTTGTTTCCATTAATGCTTGCTTCACTTGTATCGTGTGATTGCGTCTGTCGGTTACGTGTATAGTTTTCGTTCAGAATGATTGCGACGTCACGTGAATGTTATATATGCACGCTGCAACGTCGTTATATCATATGGCGTGCAGCGTTGCAGCGTGTCCCCTCGTGCTGTCAGTCTCTGCGTGTCATGTGTGTCTGTCTGTGACCTCTCCTTGCTCGCGTTCCCGTGCTTGCAAGCCTACACGTGGGCCGTTTCAATAATGAAATGGTGGTAAATAAACATATACTGTATTTACTACCAACATGCTAATGTTTATTACTCTCTATCGCCTGATAACTCCGCTTAAATGTCATTCAAATGTTCCTCTAAAACTTACAAGCTCACATCACGTATGACAATGTGCACAGACTCACAGTAGATGTATCTATCGTTGTTATTAGGCGAGAGGGTTATAAACATTAAGATTTTGGGAGTAAATACAATTTTTTGTTTATTTACCATAATTTTATTATTAAAACGTCTCAAGTGGCTGCACTAGGTGCACTGCTGGCTAGGGGGCCGTGTGCTTCAGTGTACGTGGGTGTGTGTGTGTGTGTGCGTGCGTGCGTGTGTGCGCGCACGCGTGCTTTTGTTCGTGATGGGTCTGTGATTGAAAGCAGTATAGGTGTAGATTAAATAGATGAGCATGCGGCCCCCCCCCCCAACACTGGTAACAGCCTAAATGGCGGTCAGCCCTTACACGCACTCCTCCCCACGCCCTCCTTCCATCGTCGCGGCAGCGTACTGATGGTGCTGCCCCTGGTGTCCTGTGTTGTAGATGCTGCCTCGGCCGAGGAAGGCATGCAGTTGAACGAGGTTGCTGCGGGCCAGCCGAACCACGCCGACAAGCAGCACAACCCCGACAACAACCTGAAGGACAAGGAGCCGACGCCGCCGCCGCCGCCAAAGAAACAGGCTGTAGCAGACGAAGGAGCGGACAAGAAGGACAAGTCGGTGCTGCAAGCAAAACTCACCAAGCTAGCCATCCAGATCGGTTACTTCGGTAAGAACAGATCGCTGCGGTGGATACTCGGGTGCCAGGCACGCGCCCCTGGTGTACTGTATTTGGGTATATAACCTGTACAAACGTAGCTGCTGTGTACTGTAATGTCACATTTTCACATGCTGGTATAAGCACACCTGCAGTTCATTGTAATGTGCAGGTATGTGCACACCTGTAGTATACTGTTACTTACAGGTATACACGCACTTGAGGTATATTGTTACTTACAGGTATGGGTACACCTGCGGTATAGTGTAATGTAGAGGCATGTACGCACATGTGGTATATTGTTACATACAGGTATGAGCACACCTGCTGTATAGTGTAATGTAGCACATACGCATATGTGGCATGTACGCACATGTGGTATATTGTTACATGCACACCTGTGGTATATGTACGGGTATTTGCGTACCTGCGGTATACTGTTATTTACAGGTATGTTCATACCTGCAGGTAGCAATGTAACCATGGTAACCACACACATCCCAAACACGGCTGTCAAAACGCAGCAACCAGCAACCAAACACAGCAACCAAACACGGTAATCACAGGTGATGCAGCCTGTCTGATCCCAACAGCAGACATTACGGTCTGCGTGTTTTGCATATCTAGTCATGTACAGAATCTTCACGGACAATAAATGATTGGTTAAATTCCCAAGAGCATCTACAATCTTGACAATATCACTGCATCCACCATTTCGTAAAAATTATATCCATTTGTTACAGTAGTAATATCGTCTGAGTTGTCATGCACAGTCGTAGGCATGTCATATGGCATCGACTTCTCATCCGGTTGAATGTTCAGCTAAGCCAAAATAACATCAACTATCAGAAACATTTACAAATGTGGAGATACACATATAAACAACTGGCAGCGGCCGGTGTTCTTGTGATTGGTGATGTTTGTGTATAATTAGCTGTGTTATCAAGGAACTGTTGCAAAAATACTCCGCAAAGCATATCTACTAAATAAGTAACTGCAAGTCAAAACTGACGTGCATTACGCCATAGATGTTGCGTTGCCGTGGGTAACTATGACAACAGACAGCAGTGTGTGCTCTACGTTCTGCAGGCTCTGCGGTTGCTATACTCACGGTCGTCATGCTCGTCGTCAGCTTCTCGATCGAAACATTTGTCTTCGACAAGAAACCGTGGTCTGGCTTCTACGCCAACTACTTTGTCAAGTTCTTCATTATCGGTGTCACAGTGCTGGTCGTAGCTGTACCGGAGGGTCTTCCATTGGCGGTCACCCTGTCATTAGCTTATTCAGTAAAGGTATGTTGCACACCCTGTCTCATCTTGCTTAGTCAAGCTACGTTGTCACACCCTTACTATATAGCTTACCTTATTCATTAAAGATGTGTTATTACACCGTGTCATTAACTTCATTTTCGGTAAACGTCCGCAGCCACTGAAAATTCCGTTTCTTAACCATTAGAGACTTAGAAGTTTTCATCTGTTGTTTTCATCGTATATGTGAAAAACTGCTCGGAAAGCGCGCGCGAGTTCACACGTGTACTCGCTCGGCATGTGTAGTCAGCTGCTGCTCACCCATGTCTGTCACACATATATCTGTCACACATGTATCTGTCACACATATATCTGTCACACATGTATCTGTCACACATGTATCTGTCACACATGTATCTGTCACACATGTATCTGTCACACATATATCTGTCTCGTTCTGCACAGAAAATGATGAAGGACAACAACCTGGTGAGGCATCTCGATGCCTGCGAGACGATGGGCAACGCGACGGCCATCTGCTCGGACAAAACGGGTACACTGACCACCAACCGCATGACTGTAGTGTCCACCTACATCGCAGGTAGGCATGGGGGCGGGGGCGGGAGCGGGGCGGGGGCGGGGCGGGATGGCGTACACTGACCACCAACCGCATGACCGTAGTCGCCACCTACATCGCAGGTAGGCATGGGGCGGGGGCAGAGGCGGGGCGGGGTGGGTGGTGGTGGGTACACTCACCACTACCCGCATGACCGTAGTGGCGACCTACATCGCAGGTAGGTAGCGGAGCGTGGGGTCGGGGAGGTGGGGTGGAGTCAGGTGGGCTAGCTGTGGGAGAGGCGAAGTGAGGTGTGGCAGGATGGGATCGGGTGGATGAGGTGGGGGGATGTGGTGGGTGGGGCGTGGTGGGGCGTGGTGGAGTTGGGTGGGTGAGTAGGGTGTAGCGGGTCAGGCTGGGGCAAAGTGTAGCATTATAGAACAGGGTGGGGTACACACGCCACCTATACCCTAAGTTATTTCTTTCATATTTGTTCCGTCATGGCAGCGTTTCTCCTTAACGCTGCCAGTGTACATACAAGTGCTACTGAGCACACAAGTGCTCTGAAGCTGTAGTAGTGTGGCCTGTACGTGCCCTCTTATCTTTCAGCGTTTTGTGGGGTTTATTGATTGGGATTGCCGTCTTTCGTAAGTATTTCGTTTCAGGTTCATGTGTTCTTAATGGTACGCGTTCAGGTTCACATTTCGTAGGTTAAAGAACACTATGTAATTTCACTGCGTGATGTGCACATATATACTTATATATACATGTGTGTGTGTGTGTGCGTGCGTGCGTGCGTGTGCGTGTGCGTGTGCATGTGCGTGTGCACGTGCGCATGCGCGTGTGCGTGTGTTTGTGTCAATATATGTGTGCGTGCGTGCGTGTGCGTGCGTAGAAATGCTGTAAATATTCAGCGTGAATGAACGACTGACGTACAAATGTAGTCTGACCGGCTGCAAGACCAAGGTCATTACAACGTCTTTAGTTCGTCTTCGATCGTTTCTTGACGGCAATACACATGCAGACTGCATGGGCGCACATGCGTAAAATCACGGACATTCATTGACATGCGTCTGACACATACACATGGCTCGCACAGTCCTTGAAAACTCCTTGAATTTGAGGGGAGTCCTTGAAAAGTACTTGAATTTAGTAAATGTTGATTTTGTGCTTGAAAAGTCCTTGAATTTCATGAAAATGTCCTTGAATTTAGTAAATGTTGATTTTGTGCTTGAAAAGTCCTTGAATTTCATGAAAATGTCCTTGAATTTTTAGAAAGAATCTTTGCCTGTAATAAAAAGAAATTTTGTACCATTAATAATGTGCAATAAAAATTGCATTAAATGAGCTTAAAAAGCTATAGACAGTTATATGATTATCACAAATTACAGTAAGTCAGTAAAATCAGTCAGTAAATCAAGGTATGTTGTAGAAGTGACAGTGTTTAGAAGGGTTTATTAATGTGATCCAGGTAAGGTTTAGAGGTGACAGTGATTAAGAATGGGGTTATTAAATTAATCCAGGTATGTTTTGTTCTGTGTATGAATTCCGATAAAATTTCTGATAAAATGTCCTTGAATTTCCGATAAAATGTCCTTGAAAAGTCCTTGAAAAAATGTTCAGTCCTCCTGTATGAACCATGATACATAACTCATACGTCTCATCAAGAACGCATAAGCTGGGTGATAGTTCACGTGCTCTTTATCTCGCACACGCAGACGTTCATGCACGCACGCGCGCGTGCACGCGCACGCATACACACCCGCGCGCATGCACGCAAAGAACGCCCACTGACACGATATATACGATGTGCTTGTCTTGCAGGGCAATATGCGAAGGAGGAGCTGCCCAGCTATGAGTGCTTGCCTGCTAACACCGCGCAGCTGTTGGTGCAGGGTATTGCACTCAACAGTGGCTACACATCGAAGATAATGGTACACTCAGATATAATCATGCGGCCTGAATGTGGCAGCGTAAAATTAGCGGGTCCTCGATCGGCCAATGGCTTTACAAATCTTTAAAGAACATCAGGGGGGATTCATGTCTAGTAATAAAACTTTCATAACTGTGTTAGCGATCACCTGCATAGAACGGACACCTGTTCATGGTGGTCTTAAACACTCCCCTGCTGAAAGTGCTGTCATTCGTACTGTACATAGAAACACTGCCTTAATTTGTGTCCCTCATATCCCCACGAGGTTGACTGTAAATTAGAGGTGGGGTTAGCATGGCTGGGATGGCTGTCTTAGATATCTTGATATCAACGTATTGTGTCATCAATATTTATCAAAATTTTCACTTGTGAATTAATGGCAAACTAACTATTATTAGATTTCTGTGAGTATGCTTATTTTTAGTTATTGATTACATGATTTTCTCATTTTCTTACTGTTTTTGTGTAAAATCTATATATAAATATTAGCATGCTAATTAAAACTTACCCAACCCACGCCACCATGCATTACCATGGTGTCATCATTGCTATAGTTGTAGTCTAGATAATGTAAACAATTTGGTGGAAGAATTATTTGAACTACCTAGAAGCAGCTAGCTAAATCTTGGTCACCGGCAGAGGTCGTGAGTACTCCGTGCCAGGCCGGGTCGCCCCACTCAACGAACGTCCCCTAGCGATATTTATCAGTTTATTTTAATGTGCATGCAGTTTTCCCTTTATTGCTATAGAGCGTGCAGCCATCGATCGATCTGCACGTCTCCGATTATAAAAAATTAACGATCGAGCGAGTGTCGCCCACCTGCCTCGACGAGCCGGGCGTGACATATCCGTATGCTCGCCACGTTATGTTGATTCCTCGCGGAATCGTTTGCAGTTTTCGAAAGTTCCGGGCGAGCCTCCGAAGCAGGTTGGCAATAAGACAGAGTGTGCCTTACTCGGGCTGGTGCATCACTTTGGCAAGGACTACAAGACTGTCCGGGACGAGATGCCTGAGGAATCCCTGACGAAGGTAAGTAGTGCTGTGAGGGACAAGAGGGTTCTAGTGAACACCTTACATAAAACATGTGGTCATTGAGGCCGTGTGTGAGAAACTTGAAAGAATGCCGGTTGCACGTGATGCCTAATGGTGGTGATAGTGACAATTAACTTGCTATTTGGCGCTACTGCTGATGCGCGTGTCTGCTTATCTCACTACACTACGTTCGGTGACATTTTAAGCAGCTCCACGTGCAACCTAAACGCTGGTAGTTTTCAAATATGAGGACGAGTGCGTGAACGAGAGTGGATGTGTAGTCAGTGTGGCAATCGGGTGCCCGCGCTACTACAATTAGTTTTAACGACTGCTACGTTCACCTGATGAAGTTACTTGCATAGCACTCATCGTGCGTTCATGTGTCGTGTCTTCTGCCACAGGTATACACGTTTAACTCTGTGCGCAAGTCCATGAGTACAGTGGTGCCGCGGCCGGGCGGCGGACTTCGTGTGCACAGCAAGGGTGCTTCTGAAATTGTGCTGAAAAGGCGAGTGCACACACATCTTGCACGCTCTTGCATTAATAGTGACCTTCTTCTGTTCGGTGCATGCGCAAATAATATTGTCAGGTGCAGATAAATTTCATGCAGCGTATGGAAGTCAGTACTAGACCAATTTTGACGATGGCTGTTCGTTTCTGACCAATCTTGCAAATTTCTGACCGTTGCTGATGGTTGTTAACCATTGTTGAAAACGTTTACCATTTCTGACGGTTTTAAACCATTGATGAGCATTTCTGACCATTGTTGATAGTTTTTAATGAATTGTTGAAAATTTCTGACCGTCGTTGACAGTTTCGGACCATCGTTGGCTTTTTTCGACCATTGTTGAGCGTTTCTGTTCGCGATTGACAATTTCTGACGACTGTTGAGCATTTCCGACCGTCGTTGACGATTTTCGACTGCTGCCGACTCTACGTATCTACATAGCGCGTTCACATCGTGCTAACTCGCCCTCTTCTCGCGCTCTCCGACATCACTGAGCCCGCGTGCTTGTTGTTTCCGTCGCAGGTGCTCTTTCATTCTCAGTGCCAACGGCAAGCCGCAGCGCTTCAATGCGATCGACCGCGCGCTGCTCGTGCGTAACGTCATTGAGCCAATGGCGTGCGACGGCCTGCGCACGATCTGCGTCGCCTACAAGGACTACACGCCGCACGATGCTGACAAGAACGAGGTGCACTACGACGATGCCGGTCCACCGGACCTCGACGATGAGGTTGCCGTGACGACGGGACTCACGTGCATTTGCATCGTCGGCATCCAGGACCCTGTGCGGCCCGAGGTAGGAGCAGCGCCACCTAGTGTGCTTGCGATACGCGGTGTGCCACGGTGCCTCGTGGTGTGTTGGGACGCAACACTAACCACAGCGTCCCCCAGGTTTACTGTGTAACTCGTATTAACATGAGACCTTAAGCAGCTGTGATAGAGTTAGTGTTTGGGATAAAGTGGTAAGGGCCGTAGCTGCACATGTAGTAATTGCAGTGAGTGAAGCTGGTCTCATTTGGCTGTGAACATATATGCGATATTCTGACAGTAATATATGCACTATAAATGTATGCGTCAAACATATGGTTGGTTCTATCACATCATATTTCATGCTGAATTTACATACGTCAGCCATAAAACTTAAATGAATTTATTAATAAACTGCTTTCCAGCAATATGTGAAAAAAGAGATTTCATCATATTTTCATGACATCGAAAGGCTGTAGTTGTTAGGCGACATTTTAACTTGCATGGAGAGCCATTTTTATTTTGTTTTCTTGAATAATTTCTTTGTTGGTATGCTCACATGGAAGCAGGCCATTTTAGAGTTGGGTTTTAATTTTAACATTCACTTAGATATCTAGGAAAATTTGATTATCGTTATTTCGCATATTCATTTTCTGCATTTGTTTCTGGCACACCACCGGAGGGAATGGGAGCCGAAGATGTTTTTGTGATGCAAGTTATCCTTGGCTGAAAATAAACGCAAAACCAGTATACACCATGTTTTTGCTGTATATACATATATGTTTACATATACTGAGCATAACATTTTGACAGTAACTGTAGTAGTTGCTGTTATCATGTAACTACTGCGAATAAATTGGAAGACTGTGCGAATTGTGATACTCGGGAGTTGATCCTTTGATTTCCCGCGTTTATATTTTTGCTCGTGTTGCTCCTGTATAGGTGCCAGCGGCCATCAAGCGGTGTCAGAGGTCAGGCATCACCGTGCGCATGGTGACGGGTGACAACATCAACACCGCACGTTCGATTGCCATCAAGTGTGGCATCATCAAAGCACGCGACGATTTCCTCGTCATTGACGGCAAGGAGTTCAACAATCAGATACGGGACGAATCGGGCGAGGTTGGTGCTTGCCGTGTCACGCTGCCTTTCTTTGCTGTTGTGACTAGACACTGATTATCCTAATTACTACCGTGGCGTCTATGCTACTGCTGGATCTGTAGCATGTCTGTGCTTTTATTGCAGTATAGCTTGTCTTCAAATTGTGCTGCAGTTCCCAGTTGCTCACCCACGCTGAAAACTTTTCCTATCAAGCAACCGTGTCTATATGTTTATAAAGTCGCAAAGTATTTATCTGGATTTTTGCTGACCAGTTTAGTGGCTTTTACTGTGGTCTACAGGTAGAGAGCTATAAGTCCATGAAACTAAGTTAACTAAGTTTATTAGAATTTGTTAGCATTTTATGCAGGAGCAGTGTTAACAGCCGGTGCTATCAGATGCATTTTAATGCACAAACCCCTTCCTATCCCTCACATAATACATCCTACTGCTTAACTACTGTAGCAATACACTACTGTAATATATATAAATAAATATATATATATATATATATAAATATATATATATATATATATATATATATATATATATATATATATATATATATATATATATATATATATATATATATATATAATATGTATCTATATTATGTAAATATATGCAATATCACTATCTTATCTACTATACCACTATGCTTATTTACTGTCCCTCTATGCTCATCTATTACAATAATGTGCTTATCTATTATATCACTATGCTGATTTACTATGATAGTATGCTTATCTGTTATAACACTGTGCCTATCTACTATAATAGTAGGCTCATCTATTATAAAACTATGCTTAACCACCACAGCGCTATGCTCAGGTACTGTAAGAGTGGGACGTGTAGTTACTGTAACAGTGACACGTGCTAGTGGAATAATGCATAACGCTGGTGTCTCGCAGATAAGCCAGGACCTGCTGGACAAGATATGGCCGCGACTGCGCGTGCTCGCTCGCTCCTCACCACAGGACAAGTACAACCTCGTCAAGGGCATCATTGACAGCAAGCTGACAGCAAACAGGGAGGTCGTCGCCGTGACGGGTGACGGAACGAACGACGGACCAGCTCTGAAGAAAGCCGACGTGGGCTTTGCCATGGTAAGCCGTGAGTCCTGTGTGCTCGTGTGTCACGTCGGGCCGACGTTGTGCTGTATTGAGCGGGATGCCAAGTGTTATGCATTGCCAGAGAAGATCGAGCACCAGTCCGGCTTGCCACAAAATGTAGTCATTACCACGAAGAACCACGAATGTAATCATGACCACGATGTGGCGACTTAATTGTCATGATTGTGATGAAGCATGCAGTGATCGCGAGTTTGTTCCAATATCTCAGCCACCGGCACATATATCAACTGCGGACGTGCGGAGGTGGAGGTGTGTGGTAAGATGTGTAGATGTGTGGGTGTAAAGCTAGATGTGTAGAAGCGTGGGTGTGTGGTAAGATGTGTAGATGTGTTGGTGTGTGGTAAGATGTGTAGGTGTGTGGGTGTAAAGCTAGATGTGTATGTGTGTGGGTGTGTGGTAAGATGTGTAGATGTGTGGGTGTGTGGTAAGATGTGTGGATGTATAGCTAGATGTGTAGATGTGTGGGTGTGTGGTAAGGTGTGTAGATGTGTGGGTGTGTGGTAAGATGTGTAGATGTGTGGATGTATGGTAAGATGTGTAGATGTGTGGGTGTGTGGTAAGATGTGTAGATGTGTGGGTGTGTGGTAAGATGTGTAGATGTGTGGGTGTGTGGTAAGATGT